GCGCCAATTTATATGCAACTTTCACAGTTATATTCCTAAAGATCTTATTTAACAGCTGATGCATGTGTTTATCTCGATATCGTCATCCAAAACTGATCAATTTTATTAGTTATTTCCGAAAACTACACGTATGATGTGCGGACAAAATATTCATATCAATTATTTGTCTCGTTATGCATTCTGCTTTATAAAATACAAGTAAGATTATGTGGTACTCTTCGCGAATTTGAGATGACTGCTCACTACTATCTACAAGCTTGTTTGCTATTTTAAGTTGCATAAAAAAAAACTCCAGATGTTGCGTACAGGCGAGTTATTTGTATCGTAGGAGATACTGATGAGAGAGAATAAGATTAAAAGCTGATTTTTAGTGAAGACTAAGTACAATGCCAGAGACCATCCCTTAAAAGGGGTACCGTACCAATTTTTTTTTATACCACTGAGGTGGCAAACAAGCATATGGCCCACCTGATGGTAAGTGGTTACCGTAGCCTATGAACACCTGCAATACCAGAGGTATTACGCGTGCGTTGCCGACCCTGAAGAAACCTCTTTTCTTTTTTTGTATGTCTTTATTCTTATAAATATGAATAAATTTTAATGTCATTCCAATAATGAATTTGAGTATGAATTACAATGATTGTCCTCTCAGCTGGTAATGTGACTTTTGATAAAATAGGTAGGTACCTACATAATATTTTCTCTTTTTTTCCTTAAGCGGCAATCCTCAGAATATTCCATGTTATCATAGAAATGAGCATCATTAAATTACCAATTACTCTTAAGGAAAATTACATTGGTTTTGTTATTTGTTTTCATTGATATGAAATAAAAAAAAATAACCTTGTTAACAAGAAAAATGGAGTATAAGTGCGCAATTTGTGGCCCTGTACTAGATTCTATAGAGTATATTAATTTTGGCTAAATTTCATTCCAATTTTATTTTTATAACTCTCTAAAAATATATTATGTAAGAGAAAAAAATGTATTGATGGGTTTTATAGGAAACAAATCTAGGTGTGACAGGGATAACGAAAGGATATAAGGATTCACCGTCTTTATGATGTCCTGTACGGGCGCCTTGATTTCTTCCGTCACTTTATCACCAATGTACAGACAAAATATTGTCTACAAACACAGCACTTCAAATTATGAAAGCGGTAACCATATTTACAGTACAACAATATTATTAATATTTTTTATACGTAGTTGCTCGTCGATTGCGGAGGTCACATTCATTTTTAGAGATGAGAATTAGCGTTAGATAAAAAATAAATTAATTAAGTATTTACCGAAAAATGAAATAAAAAATATGTAGGTACACAGATGTGGCTTACCAGTACTTGAAATAAAATTGGCAGGTAAGTAGTGGTATTAAAGAAATATTGCGGTTGGAATGTAGGCATCTTTTAGCGATGAATGTGACTAAATAAAGTATATTTACGCGGTTTATATATATATATATATATATATATATATATAAAGAATTAACAACGCAGTGTTTTCAAAAGAGTGTTATATAAATAAATAACTTTTATAATATCAAGTATTTCTTGTTTCTTGTATATCTTACCTTTATATCTGTAGTAGTTTTTAAGGTAAAAATGTAATGGTAAGTAATTACTGTTATTAATACAAGCTGGCGAGGCACCAGTGGGAAATGATAAGTGAGCGATGAAGTCAGATCAGTTAGCCCATCGTGACCAATTCACCATGTACACCAAGATGGTTTCCAGGGGGATTTGACCGGGTATATTACTAATAATGGGGTCGCTTGATTCCATTACAAATAATCCTCTTCCCCTTGACAGTAACATTAACTATAGATAGGTTATGCACGTAACTACTAATATTATTTATTTTGTCGATGTTTGGTGATAGAATTTGTGAAAAATGAGAAAAGGTATGCTTCAGTGGTTTGGGTATGCGGAAAGAATGTCAGATACACGAATTATGAAATTGATATTATAATACAATAAGAAAGTGGAGGGTTGTAAGTATCTAAAAGAGGCACTTGTATTTATATTTGATTTTGTGCAATAGAATACAAAATACCTTCCGGTATTTTAATACAGATTTAAAAAAAAATAAGAGTATTATCCAAATATATATTGGAAGTTAACAAATATGAAAAAGGAAAATGTTAAAGGTTTAAGGAAGAGTTTAAAACAATGTAAATATAATAATACTTTGCTAATTAAGATCACCTAATTTTATATTACAATACAACATGTTTACAAACATAAAAAAAAAACATAATATGAAGAGTTTAAATAATTTTTATAAAATAATATAAATGTAATACTTTGCTAATTAGGATTAGCTAATGTATAGTGAACTTTGAATACAGCTGATTTTTTGGGGAGGGGTCGCAACCATGCTGTAGTATAAATCACCTTGTAGGATTTTATTTGCGTGAGCCATATGAATCTGTCATCTACATATTTTCATATATCTGACAGAAGGATAACATATCAGGTACTTAGTTATACGTATAGATAATTTATCTGTAAGTAGACAGATACTATCATAAGTGTAGATACATTTGTACTTCATACGTAAAAAATATATACATAGAGATTTAGGTATTATTTTCTATCTTTAATAGGTTGAAAATAGGTATATGGTTTTCACTGGTTATTTAATTACAATTATTTTGTTTAATTCCGCTACCATTAGTGTATATGTTACTGAATAGTGACATGGACGTCCACAAGATAACACCTAGTTCAGTAAAATATTAACACGATTTATGTTACGAAACTTTTCTGAACAGGCCCAGCGAAGACAAGAGTGATTGACATAACTACGTTTTGTGGAATTGAGTAAATATATACGAGAAATGTAATAGTTTATTTTTGTTGTTTCAAAAATACACAAAGGTACCTGTTATAATATTATTTATTGCTCCCGTACTTTATGTTTGACACAGAATCCTTTTTTATCGAGCTCCTGAAGAGAGAAGGGTGGTGTATTCAGAATTATTGGCTCATTGTTTATATTAAATTGCTTGATAAATTTAGTAAACAGTATCAAGAGATTTATGTAGGAGCGCTTTTTGTTATATGATGGTAATCCTTACTAATATTATAAATGTGAAAGGTGAGTTTACTTGTTACTTATTGACGTCTTAACAGCTTATGTAATTATTATGAAATTTAGTGTACACGTATTATACGGCATGGTTGGAAGATTTTTTTTATCCTGGTCAGTAAAAGTATCACGGTCACGCAAACGATGTCGTGGGTAAAAGCTAGTTTTTACATGAAATAAAATCTTACAAAGTCAACACGAAAGTTGTTTATGGTGTATAACATATGCGATACTGAATATAAAACGACGTTTTATATAATTATTGTCGGTTTGTTTGTTAGTATTACCTCAATGGTATTTCTCCACAGGTAGATCTTAAGATGAATACAGACAATAACGTCCATGTCACACCAATATCGGTTACGATTGAGAACACTACGCTCGAAGTTGTCGACCAGTATGTATACTTGGGACAAGTTGTCCGAATAGGTAAGTCCAACTTCGACCGAGAGGTCAACCGACGAATCTAACTCGACTGGGCAGCGTTAGGAAAACTACGCCACATCTTTTCATTCCAAAATACCTTAGAGTTTGAAGACAAAGGACTTTAAACAGTGTGTGTTTCCAGTGATGACTTATGGAACCGAAACATGGTCCTACACAATTGCCCGTAAGCAAAAGCTTCAAATAATATAGCGAGCCATAGCCCGAGCATAAGAGGGCTATGCTCGGAGTCTCTTTGCTTGATAGAATCCGAAATGAGGTTATCCGCAAAGCAACCAAAGTAACCGACATAGTTCGAAGGATAAGCAAGCTGAAGTGGCAATGGGCTGGTTACATAGTTCGAAGAACCGACAACCGATGGGAGAGAAAGGATCTTGAGGGGTAAGCTCGCACGGGGAAACACAGTGTAGAACGACCCCGCTAGATGGAGTGACAATCTCAAATGCATTATAGGAAGTCAGTGAATGCAGGTGGCTTAGGGCCTTTTCTTATGACAGTCTAGGGAGGGAGGCTTATGCCCAGTAGTAAACGGATAATAGCTGAAATTATGATGATATTAGTTTCATGTAAAAGCAGATAGAGGGACTATAATTAAAATAAATATGAGCCAACGAATAAAGTCTAGAAAAAGTATAAAAAATACGGGGATGTTTGTTTTTAAACTTTATAATAACTATATTACAATTTTGTTACCCCGTATATAGTTTACTTAAATCATCATAATCCGTCATCATAATAACTTCATTAAATTGTCATTTTTCCATTTATTGTCAAGAAGAGTAGTAACTTTGCTTGGAATGGGTCGTTACACTGCGCTTGTCCGTATAGGGTCCCAACTCAAGCACCTTTCTTTCTCATCGGTTGTTTGTTCTTCAGTGAACAGCTCATTATCACTTCAGCTCTATTATTCTTCTTATTTTTATCTTATAAAACAATAAAAGTGTGTAAAAATTTGAAATTTCACAGAAAGATTTTTATGACTCTGTCAAGTTTCCTTATAATGAATATGAATAATGTACAAAAGACAGTTTCGTATAAGGCAGCGACACCAAGCGTCAAAACGTTTTATAGTATTTTAGATTTATGATGAAATAGAATCTACTAACTTACGTCGGATGCACGTCGAGTGTGACGTTTACCATAACGTAACGTACGATTGTAAGTTTATTATAATTTCTATATATATTCTTTATTGCACTTGTAAGTTACATATAAAATAATCTATTTATAAATGTTGTGAGCAAGGGTGGACTTATCTCTGACAGAGATCTCTTCCAGTCAACCCAGTAAGAAAGCATTTCGTTAGCGGGCAGCTGAAGTGCTACAATTATTAATACATAAACAAATATACAGTTAAATAAAATATTAAAATATATAATAAAATATTACATAAATACATATACTATAAATACATATGATACCTACCTACTTATATAATAAATTCTATTTATTTTATTACTTACTGAAAGCCTCTGTTTTCCTGGTACAGTCAGTTCTTGGTTCGTCTCCGAATCACGTGGGTCCCGCGTTCGTATAAGCTTCGTAAATATGTTGTGGCCATCTCGCTTCACTGCGGCCCAGTCAACTTGTTGGACTCGTTGAAGTGCACTGAAACACGAGTACTGATTAATAATGTACAACTACAAATGAATTAGATGAATCAGTATGTTGTAGCACAATTTGTAATAATGAAGTAGACAAAGCTGTTTCTATTAATATTATAATGATGAAAGTGAGTTTGTTTGGCGTGATCAGTACATACTAAATGACCAGGAAAAGTAAAAAAATAATATATGGTCTTTTATATGGTCATAGTCAGTACATATCAAATTTTATAACGGTTGAATTATTAAGGTGTTAGAAGATAAACAAACAAACTAACATTCACATTTATAATATTAATAAAAATACAGAAGGGGTGATTGAGGCTATAGACATTTTCGATAAAGCAATCTTTAGGATACACAGCTCCTAAAATTAACACTATAATTATTTTGCAATTCATTTAACCATAATTGCTATATACAGATATCATTTAATAAAATTATCACAAAGTGATATAAAATTATGTTATTTTAATTAATTCTGATGTAGCTCTATTATAGACATACTAATAAATTACCAAAGGGGAGATACAATTCATTAGGAGAATTCAAATTAATAATTCATATTATACACGAGTAAATACTAACTAGTGTAATACCAGTATAAATAAATGTACAGAAACATAATATTTCTTATCTCTATTTTGATATAAAAAGAATATTAATTGCATTATACTGGCTAAGCTTTGAGTTGGTATTATATTAATGACTAACTTTTTAACCGCGACATCATACGCTTAAATTTCAGAAGTAGGAAAATCATTTAAATAGGCCACTTCTGAACAACGTATTAAGATAAAACATACCATATTTTAAGTTAGACCTTTATAATCACAATTATAAAAATAACATTTAATTTGGTGCAGTTTTTGCCTGATACTGGACTAAACATACATTCAGCAGTCAGATAGAAAAAAAATACAATAATTTTTGTTTTGGTATCTGTTTCTTATGTTAACTCCTTATATTGATTATTCATAAATGTATCTCAAGTACCAACAACGTTCAGTTACATTTTTATTATATTTATTATATATATTTAATAATTAATGTTAATCTGATAGACCATAGTTAGGCTGAAAGCGTTTTATAATAAATATATTATACAAGCAGGTATAAATAATCTAATTCTACTTGATTGATTTAGAGATTAGAACGTCGCGACTCGCTTGATTAAACGCTGTATATACTGGCATTATTTCTAAAAACTGTATGATTGTTTCAATTAGGAAATAATACAAATTATGTTTCCTCCATAAATTTGTTATGTTTGTGTGTTTGTGTGTGCTTGCAGCAGCTGTACTCAACAACAGTGAAATTATAGGATATTATCTAATAGCTTAGTTTTCAGGATTGGCAACCCATGAAGAGTATCATAGGTGTCACAGTATATTCTGTGAATTGCGAGGTAATATTCTTGCCTATAGGCGATGGTTACCAACTTGATTGTCATTTCCAGTTTAATAAAAAAAAAAAAAACTAAATTTTTCATACTTTTTACGTAGGATTGTCATAATAGACAAATTGACGGGAACGTCACTGAAGGGTCGTCACATAAATCAGATTATGCCGTTGGTTCATGCAGATTAAGTATAATTCCGTTTGAGTTTTAGCTTGTATAAGTATAATTTATTTTGAATTTCCGCCTGTATATAGACTGTTATAGGATAAAATATTTTCAAAATTTTGTTTCACAAAAAAAAATTTTCGGCTACCCCCATGGGAGACAGGCGTGACGTATATGTATGTACATAAAAAAATACCGACTTCAATCGTGATTCGAAATCACATAGTTATATTGATTTAAGCACTGCAATCCAAATACTAATAATGCACTTTCACAACTAAATAAATAAATGTTTATAACAACAATGTTTACATGGGTAATCTCCACTGTAATATTCCATTTTGATTAATAAATAATATTATATATAGAAAGATAATATTAATTTTAGACGTATCTAAAAACAGGTTGCATGTTATTAAATAAACATTAATATTCCCTTTGATAGAAAACCAATCAATTACTCAACAAATACCCGGTAGGTAATAAATTTTATTGCTACATCGTAATTACACATTTATTTTAATAAGACTTATTTTGTTCACTCGACGCTGAAGTTTGCTGGTACTTGACGGTATTTGGAATTGATCTTTATAAATGGGAACACTTTTATTACTTCCACGGCTAATAGCTATTAATGCTTTGAAGCGGTGAAACCATTCAGACCCTATATCTTAATTAATCTTAATACTTTGTAAAAAAATCCTGTGTCACGATTTTCGTTCACGTTAATTTCCGAAACCGCTCAACCAATTTTAATTATATTTTGTAAATGTGTACTATTGTTCCAGTTTGGTTTGCTCCAGTTTGGACCCGGCAGGTGGTAAGGTGCAAAACATCGATTGTCGGATCAGCTAGTGATAGTAGTAAAAATGTGTGCTGACAATTCCTTTTATGATACTTATAAAAGCTACAAAGACACTGTCGTTTATAGACAAGTATAATGCCATGCCTAGTCATTAAAAAAGACAACAGTGTAATCCCATCCTACGCTGTTATTTCACTACACTTTAAAGTTTAAAATGTAGTGAAATTAAACCGGCAGCTTTAAAGTTTATTCAAATTAAACAGGTATATTTAAAGTTTTAACTGAAACACACCTATTGCGAACTGCTAACAAAATAAAACGCCGGTTCGTGTTGAATAAATGCTGACATGTTAATAATAAAGCAAAGAGTAAAAATAACAAAGAAAGATACGAGTGTAAAGCACTAACTATAAAAGAGTTTATAACAACAGCCACAGGTAATATAATACTATACTAGTATAACAGCTATACTGGCATTGCACGGAAGAAATACGAAAGGGATAGATGTATAATGTCTTTTTCTGAGAGAGTACTAATATTCTTATTTATAAAGGGTTCAATTTTCCTTTTTGTCAAATAAAAACAATAAGAATTATTTACCTTTGCATATCGAAGCCGAGGAGAAGATCTCTCCCCCTGTGACCTACATCGACGCAGACAGGACCTGTCAAAAAAAATGTCAATTAATTTTTTATGCAACTTGAAATGGCAAACATACTGACAGGTCACCTGATAATAAGTGGAAACGTCACCTATAGACATGAAATACACAATAAGTAAAACAATCATTAAAGAAATACATATTTTTTTATTGACAGCAGCATAAAAACCAAAACACAGCCACGAAGGCTTCCATGTTGATTTTATTCTAAAGTTCATTCTATGTTATATTCAAGAAAGTCCTATGCTTCGCGATATAAATACGAGTGGGACTAAAGTACCCAAGTAGATAACTTTAGAACAAAGGCATCTATTTTGTAAATATAAACATAAAATACTGTTTAAATTTTTATAATTAATACACTATAATATAATTTTTATTGATTTGCAATGAATAAAAATAGTTTATTACTTTTTGCTTCTAAAGAAACAGTTAACTTACACTCTGGCACTCAGTTATGAAAATCAACAGTACGAGTATTATCGCGTAGATATTTTGACGTCCTGTGACACAGATTTCCGGTCCGAGTGCCAACGGTAGACTGCCGCTCGCATCCTGCGAGGAGACTTTCTTATCCTCTCCGACACATTAAATAAATTTTGCTTATTCTACAAAAATACTGGCCAATTTTAAAACCAAATACAGTCTAGAAAAAAATGTGTATAGGAGTATTACCTATAATTTCGTATATGAATCTCGCAAATCAATTTTGACGAAACATCGATTTTTTATGCAACTTACAATTTAAGTAAATAAATTTAAGAATAGTATTTTAGTAAATATTTTATCCAAATTTTTAAATCTGAGAACGACGTTCCTAAAAAGAATTTTCATGAAATGAATCACTATTTTTATTTATAGAACAAATCTTAAATTGTTAATTAGTTCAAAAATAAATAGGATATGTTATTACAATTTAATTTGAAATTGGAATATAAAGGATTCATAATTATATTCGTATATTAATCAGCTTTTTGACCACATGTATACTGCATATGATTAATTATAATTTATTCTATCAATTTAACCGACAACCGTGTACATTTCATTGCGTTTATTAATTGATTGTAGTTAATCAAAATAATTTATATTGTAATTCACTAATATAACATTATATTAATATAAAATAAAATTAACATCAACAATAATAAGAAATGAATTTATTTTATAACGCTATCAACATCCAAACTAGGCAAGTCTATGTACTAAAAAACTGATAGAATTATTTCAATTATTTTTTTGGTAAATTAACATAGACATACATATAGGGAAAACACCAACCATCAAGAGACCAATACAAACAGACAATCCCACTCATGAATACAAATGTTTGTATTGTCCGTGGATCGAAGGTGAGATAATGTAATAAACTGCTACACCATGAAGATTATAAGTAAAGTGTAAGTAAAGGTGTGGTTAAGTCTTGAAAAAGTATTTTTTTAACATATTATTACACCAATATTATAGGACTTGTTGAAGGATTTTCAATGAGCAAAATGTAGTCAATCAAGAGGTTGTCTGTAAAAAGAATGCTGAGCAATCTATTTCAGACAACCTTTGGGTAAAAGGAATTAAAAAATGAATCAATGAATAATGGTGACGCGTTAAAAAAATAAATGAAAAGCTTAACGTATGTAAATAAGTATATACTCGTATTATATATATAACACATAGTTTTGGTAGGAATAAGGAGTATTAAGTGATTGTAAGGATAGGTAGTGGGATTTAACTAACTCTTTATTGCACTGAATAAAAAAAAAATATACATTGACAATTATTGCAAATATTCAACAGAAATTTATTTCAATTTTTACAAAACTAACATGCTCCTATTCATAATTCATATGAATTCATATGTAGAGGGAAAATCTATTGTCAAAATAATGATAATAGCCATTAAATCACTTCAAGATGAGAATCAAATAGAACCTCCTAACTTTTTGAAGTCGGTTGGATCACACTGTTGATGATACGTAACTTTTTGTTCAGCTGCGTTTGATGCCAACCGTGTCTACGCATACGTAATGGTGTTTTGAAGCTTTTAATTGTAATGGTGCGTATGAGGGAGTTTACTTAGAACTTTGTAACTTATCTCCGCCCTTAGCATTTACTTTACCTATATCGTATCCTCCTCAACGCAATAAACTACAAAACACAAATGTAATTTACGAACATTTGTTAAGTTTGTTGAATCATTAATATAAGTCTGAAGTTTTCGTTAGGATGAATGACTTTCAATTTTTATAAACCTTTATAAATATTTTAGGAGCTCTAAGTGCTAGGTTAGTCAGGCAAAACTACGTTTAAAAAAATGGCTGAAAAATTAGACAGCTTTTATTTAGCAGCAATTTATACTCTGTGAGGGGGGGGGGGATTGTTTGGATTGTTAGTAGTGGGCACTAGTAATCCTATTGCTATCCGTCATTTATTATTTTTCACTAATGCCTTGCTAGCGTATACCGATAACGTAGGCGGGCATACCATTTCATTGTTATTAAAAAAAAAATATATTCTGTCGGGAAGGGGGGATTGATAATTAGAGATGTGATTTAACGCTCCCATTGTTAGCAATTTACTCTATTAGGTAAGCCAACACGCGATCAAACTCATCTGGTTAACTCCTAATGTATGCGTACACGACGTATGACGATAGGCCAACTGAGCTTTTTAATTTATAATTCTTCAATGGTGTCCTGTTATTTCATATTAGCCATTAGCTGTCCACTGCTGAACATAGGCCTCCCCCATACGGAGGGCTTTGTCCATAGTCGTTACGCTTTATCGGTGTTCGTCGGTTGATAACCACAATTAAGTTTTGGTGACGCTGCTACCCATCCCTCGCTCATTAAATTTAGTTAATCGTCTCTTACGACACCCACTGGAAAGGAAGGGGTGGCCCGTTCTATGCCGGAATCAAATGGCAATTGCTATTGTTTACTGATAATACAGGCGGGGTTATCATTTTATCATCACCCATTAATACAGTATTTCATCCGGGATGTAATTGATGTAACTTATTCAGGTTGGGTAACTGAGAGGTAGAGGGTTAACATGATTTACTTATTCATTATGAGACGTGGTATTAAATAGGATATTGGTTTTTTATCCTGGTCAAGCGAACGAAGTGAAGGTTAAGACTAGTGCTAGGTTATATCTAAAATCAATAATATACCGTCTCATAAAAAATGAGATCAGCAGTTCATTAGGACTGAAAGTGAAAGCAACTTGAAACAAACTTCGTTTCACTTACTTCCAACAGAAATGGAATAACTTAGAAGTTATACAAGTTTGTATACGCTTCAACTTGGAAAAATCTCGATTCGCATACCAGCAATCTAACTTACTTTCAAGGTTTCATTTGTAGGTTAAAAAAATTATCATAATATTTAATATTTAAATCAGTTATAAATAATATAAATTTGTAACAACAACAAAGCGTAAAAGAACAGTATAAAATACTAGGTGATACGGCAAACGTTATTTTGCCTCCTACCGCCACATATTTAAGCCGTTTTTTCTTCTTAACGGGATAAAACCTAATTTATCTCTCAAGTTTGCAAACAATACACATTTACAAAATATTAAAATGAGTTGGACGGTTTTGGAGGTTACACACTAATCTCCGAAACCGCCCGACTCATCTCATGAACATCATGACACGCGATTTTTATATACCAAGATTGAAAAACAAATTACACGTACATAATTAATATATTCTTTGAAGAGTAGATTTTTCTCTACAAATACGATTTTAATTATGACAAAATTAATATAGAAGTAAGCATTTATCAAAATTAGGTCTAAATTGGCAAAGATATCGCGTAACATACATTTAAAAATATTTACATTTCGAAGTTGGATGTGAATTGTAATAGATGGTTTTGAAGTTTTAAATGCAAATGTGATTTTCTACCTTTGTAATTTACCTTCCTCTATATATATCATACTGTGCATAGAAACTCGTCGGTTAAGAATAATAGCTTTTTTCAAACCATATAGTCGTATAATAACATCTCCCTATAGCTCGATTAAAATTCTCTTTTATAAATTCTTCTTTCATCCATCCCTCTGACCAATTCCATCCAACGTGCCTCTTTTCAATCTTTTAATTCAGATTTATTTATCAATCAGACTCATTAAGCAAAGTAAATTTTATTAAATTTATTATGTTCTGAATACTCAATGGATAATAATCAATTAACAGAAACTCAAAAAGCTTTTTAACATAATGAATATTGAAATGGATTAGTGAAATCTGTTGTACTTTGGAATAAGTTAATATATGGATAACATATAAGGTTTAATACTATATATCTGGATTAACTATTGGCTGTCTTTATAAAACCTTACTAATAATATAATATAAAAATGAGTTTATTAACTTGTTGATAGATTAAGCAATCATCATAAAATTGAGTATATTTATAATATTTCGCATAGACAATTTTGATTCACAGGCTACTTTTTATCCCAGCAATTTAACAATGTAAATGAAGTAGCGGACACAGCCGTTTCGTTAATTCCCCGTGAATCTCATCACGATGAATCAACTGACTTATTATACGTGGAAAATCCGTTATAGAACCCGATACATTCCGAAGGAAACGAATGAATCAATCTACTAAATAACTAAATATCTCATGGTATCTTTCGCACACAAACTGATATGATTTAATCCGCACCTGTAATCTTTCAGTCTATGTAAATCGGTTAAGGAATGCTTTCGCTCTGACTAGAGCTGAATAAATAGAAACATTGCGTGGGCCTCAATTGCCTTGAATTAGATGAAAAATTAGATAAGGTTCATCAGTAATCAAATTTCATTCAAATCCGTTTTCATGTTTAAATGTGATTGGGTAATAAATTTCCATACATATTTAAAAGCTTTCTCGTTTACAATCTTAAAAATAGAACAATCTGTTTAAATGGGAATATTTGTCAACGTGTGTCATGATCTGCAAGAACTTGAAAGATAGAATATCTAGTATAGCATAAATGAGATA